GGAACCAGCGTCATTTCAATGGCGGACCGTGAAGCACCAACAATGGCTCATGACGGCAAGCACGGAGTGGCGGACCGCTTATTCAACACATCCCATCCCCGTACGTACATAATTGCCCCTTCCTCAGCCTCACTCGTGCCTCCCATGGATCGAAGAGTGTAGGGCAGAGAGCTTACCTTCCACCCCTCACCCTCACTCAAACCTCTTGTGTACTGGAGGGTGTAGGGTTGATTGACATACCGTCCTCCCGTCATCCTCGCTCACACCTCTCTTGCATTGGAGGGTAAGGGCTTGAGAGGGTGCGTTTCAGTACTGGACTCATTATTGTTTTTTTTTTTTTCATCCACGTTTTGCAGAGCTTCCTCTGGAATGTGAACCGCGCGCATGAGATCCACGACCCTTGGGGCAACCCCTACTTGGCTATCATGCTGGATGTGTTACATGTTGTACTCGCTGGCGTGTGGCGCTACATTTTGGAAGAGGTGGTACATGGTGAAGACATAAACGAAATGAACAGGTGTGTTTGTCTTGCTGCTATGTGCAATGTGATATTGATGACTTAATCAACCACAATCTGTATGCCTTTTCCACCCTCCCTATCCCTCTTCCGCCTGTCCCCTTCCCCCCTCCCTCCCTCTATCCCTCCACCCTGGACCTCTACACCCAAACCCCCCTCCCCCATCCCGTTTTTCAAATATCATAGGCGACTCGGTGTCCTAGCGAAGGAGGAGAGGTTTTCCTCATACAAGTTACCCGCTGACGGTCACTATTTCAATCCAGGAGCCAACTATTCTGCGGCGGAGCATGCGGCCGTGATTCGGGTGTGTGAGTGCGAATGTTGGTGTTCTCTATGGTTGAGTCCTTAGAGCCTTTCATTGAGTTGCAATTTGATGTCACAATGACGTAACCAACCCGTATTGTTTATGGAACAGGTGGTCTTGCTTATTATGTCCGATGGGCTACTGAAAGCACCAATCAAGATGGCTGTCCTGCAATTTTTCGTAAAGTGGTTTCACACATACTTCCGTGCACCAGTCTATCCGGAGAGTCTCTTGCGCCAGTACACCGTGGACACCAAAGAGTAAGTCCTCCCTTCCCTTTGTTACTCACCTCACTTCCCCCTGTTCCCCTCAAAATTTCCCCCTGTTGCCCACCTCACTTCCCAATGTTGCCCACCTCACTTCCCCCCTGTTACCCTACTCCCTTCCCCCTGTTCTTCACCTCACTCCCCATTGTTTCCCAACCCACTTCCTTCTGTACCCCACATCCTATCCCCTTTGTTCCCCACCCCACTTCTGTGTGTAAATCAGGTTGGTGCGCTTGCTCAGGACCAACCTCCCAAGGGCCGGGCATGGCTGGCTTCTTGTCAAGGTGCACAAGCTTGTCCACTTCCCTGATGCAGTCCGACGTGCTGGTGCACCCGGAGAGTACTGCACCGAGCTCTTCGAGAACGCCCACACAACATCCTGCAAACGACCTTTCCGCGCATCGAACTACCGTAACTACGACGATGCCATCATGCGGTCGTCTGAAATGAGATGCGCACTGCTGGATTTGCCGTCAGTTTTCAACAACCTGCCAGGACGTGATACTGCCATAATGAAGGTGTGATACCAAACGCAACCCTCTACATGCAGTGTGTCCGCCATTCCTCTGTCCCCTTCTCCATTTTCCTCTTGGTGCCCATGTATGCATGCGATCTTCGTAGCTAGAGTGCATTTCACACTCACACATCATTGCCATGCATGGATGGTGTTTAGGCCAGCATGGAATGCTGTGCCCGTGTCGTGTCTCATGCATCATCCCATGCGTTGTTGGTGGTAAGGCCAGCATGACATGCCTTTCTCGTGTCGTCTCTCATGCATCATGCCATGCATGGCTGGAGGTAAGGCCAGCAAGACATTCTTTGCCATTTACACCCACATGCATCATTGCATGCATGGCTGCTTGCAAGGCCAGCAATGCCTTGCCATTCATCTCACACACATGCATCAGTGCATGCATTGCTGGTTTTAAGGCCAGCAAGGAATGCCATGCCATTCATTTCACACACATGCATCATGGCATGAATGGCTGGTTGTAAGGCCAGCAAGGAATGCCATGCCATTCATTTCACAGCCATGCATCATTGCATGCATGGCTGGTTGTAAGGCCAGCAAGGAATGCCATGCCATTCGTTTCACACACATGCATCATTGCATGAATGGCTGGTTGTAAGGCCAGCAAGGAATGCCATGCCATTCGTTTCACAGCCATGCATCATTGCATGCATGGCTGGTTGTAAGGCCAGCAAGGAATGCCATGCCATTCGTTTCACAGCCATGCATCATTGCATACATGGCTGGTTGGAAGGCCAGCAAGGAATGCCATGCCATTCGTTTCACAGCCATGCATCATTGCATGCATGGCTGGTTGTAAGGCCAGCAAGGAATGCCATGCCATTCATTTCACACACATGCATCATTGCATGCATTGCTGGTTGTAAGGCCAGCAAGGAATGCCTTGCCACTTTCACAAACACACATCATGCCATACATGTGCAACTTCCCCTATCCCTTTTTATTTCAACGTCCAGGCTGAAAGGAACAAAAACCCTGTTCTCACGGCGACAAGCACAGCCATGACACTTCCACATGTTGTTGATGGTCCAAAAGCGGAGAAACTCTGGCAAGGGCTGTTGGAGCAACACGGCAGCGCCATGAACGATATCACAATAGCCCTCGCTGAACGTGGCATTCGAAATGACATCGTCCATGTAAGAAAAACACCTCACCTACCATGACCACCATTATGCGCAGTGTTATTCTAAACTCTGTCACTTTTATATTGCCGACGTTGAAGTTTGTATTTCCCGAAGAATGAAACTTTTGCATTCGCCATCCCAAACTTTCTCGTCCTATGCAGGTGCATTCTGCAGTTGCACTCCCAAGGAATGATTTGACCGATGCTCACTATGCAAGGGCAACCGTGGCTTTCCATGGGAATCCATGGTTTTCCTATGTAGCTCTGGACGGGAGTATGGTCAGTAACCGTACTCAAGGGGGGTCAGATGTTGTGTATGCCCAGCTCCTCATGCTTTTCCATGTCCAAACCAGAGCTGGACGGGAGATAGAGAAACAGCCACTCGCGTACGTGAAGCTCCTGGACGTGAGAGGAAAGGACGAAGACACAGCCTTCGTAAAATTGGCCTGCCGTCGTAGGGCTGATGCCTATCGCGTCGTGCACATTGATGCCATCTTGAGGGCTGAGCACATAGTTCCTCTCTTTAAGAGGACCACGCTGAAACTATTGAACCCGTATGCGTGGTGATGAAAATGCTTCACTGGATGGTGCGGTAGCTTCTGATACTCTATACCAGGTACTATAGTGCAGGTTGTATTTGGAAAAGTAGTCGCATTTATTACGACTCACTGTCTATAGCCCTGCCCCCCTTACCCCGGTTGTTTCCACCTTGTTTCCACCATTCCCTAACAATGCACCTAAATATAAGTAGCAGAAATAATTATGTAGTGAATTTAACGTCCGAAAAATCACAACAGACAAGATCAGAGTGTTTAACTGCTTTAGTTACGCATGCAAATCAACCCAATAGAATATGTTGGTGTCAATATAAGCTGTGTACAAAATTCATGCACATAAGAACAAGATATTTCAATAGCAATCATCACTGTACACTGGAACGGAGATGCTCTTGTGCGGGTCACGTATCTGCATTTGTGCCAAACCTTCTCAAAGCCGCTGCTTCTTGGAAGGAGTTTTTCGAAAACCTAGGCCCGGTTCGGCAGGCGTTAATTTCGCAGGCTCGGGGACAGGCTACAGTAGACCGACCACCCTGGAACCTTCCGTGATAACCGTCTGAGAGGTTATCAAGGCTCGATATAAGCGGATCTACTCCGAGCCTGAGCGGTTGAAAACGCCAGCCGAACAGCCCTCTAAATGCTGGTGTTTTCAGCCCTTCGATGCTTCCAGGAATCCGTCGCCCCTGGCAAACAGACGCACCAGTGATCCGCCGCATGGTCCATCGTCGAGAGCCACCACCATGCGACAGATCACTGATCCGGGGCAACCACACCATGCCCTGACAAAAACAAACCCCAGCTTTCATACCCCTTTTCTTGCCCATTCAAAACATTGAGACTCAACCACACATCCACAAACAAATCAGACACATCATCCACTCGTATTAGGGTTGAAATATGTTGGTCACGGCTCTAGAGGGAAGAGTCTTGCTTTGGCGAAATGTGTCTGGTTCCTTTAGCGTAGGAGGACGAGGTTGGAGGGGTGCGTTTCCCCTATCGGAATTTTTTTCGCCAGGAGTAACAGTTGTCAGGGCAGTTAACAGAGATTGTGCGATCCAGCAGAGCAACTGCACTCTGGCCTCTTCGAATGTTCAGCGCCCATAACGCCATCATTGTTAACGCCTGCCGAACACTCAACCCCGTTATTCCGAAGTTACAAAGCTAGCGCATCTTGGCTTCGTCGTTATTTCGACCTGCGTTTTTCGAGTCCCGTTAAAAAGGCCACAAGGGCCATAACGCCAGCCGAACTGGGCCGTAAACTTACCGAGCAGTAGGTTCGAATCGAATGTCCAATAGAAATCATTCGAAGGGTCTCAAGGGAAGTTTCGTGGATCTGGTGGAAAGCGTTCGACCAATAAAATCGCTCGCGAGGAACTGGTCGAAACTTCGTAGTTGATGCAGCCCACTGATTCCCGAGCCGCGAACCCCGAAATGCTACCTGCGGGTAAGTTCTGGAGAGTTACTCTCTCGCAAACCCTAAAAAAGCTGCCACCCCGACCCCACGCATTTTGGGATGTCTGCGTGAACTCCGTCCGAGGGTAACGCAGCGCAACCTGATTTTGCGCACGGGCAGCAGAGCTGTGAGTTTGTCGTTCTAACAGCGCGCAAGCGACGAGCGACTGTCGTCGTGCTGGCAGTTAGGATAGCTCCGGAGGTACAGCGTCTTTTTCCGTCGTGTCGTCTTATTCGGCAGACCGTGGGATGGGTTCGGGTAGTCACGGGCAAGTGCCACGTCCCGGAAACTCATTGCTGGGCAGGGACAGGACAAGCAGACGCAGCGCGAATGGCGTCAATCGCAGATTGTCGGACTCGGAGGTTTGCGCGCCGGTTGAGAGGCCGCGGCGCGAGCGGTGGTGGCCGCTGAGGCCAAAAGCGCGCACGCTGACGGCGGACCAGCTGGTGTTCGCTATCGACGTTTTTCAAAACAGCTTCTGGGTGCTTTCCTGCTCGCTCAAAGGTAAATCTCGGAGGGCTCCCCTTGTCCCCCTGCCTCCTCTCCTTCTGCCTCTCGGAATCGTCTCCTCCTCCGTTGAAGCTTCTCTCCTCGTCTCCCTGCCTCCCTGCTCTTCCCTTCCCCCCCTCCGCCTCCCCCCTCCCTTTCGCGCGCAGACCTAAGCGGCACGAAGCCCTATCACCACTTCTTTTCCGTCGCCACCGGCTTCCCCCCCATCGACGGGCCCCCCGGCGCGTTCAACCGCGCGAAGCGCGCGCGCGCGCCGACGGAGTACGAGCTGCCGGCGGACTGGGTGGACGCGCTGACGCTGAGCTGCGTCGCCACCAAGAAGAACCGCCCCGACGTCTCCCTCGAGCTCTCCGCGGCGCCTTGCCGCGCGTGGTTCGTGCCGTCGCAGGGCTCCTTCCCCGCGGCGCACTGCATCCAGTTCCGCGGCCGCCTCCACCACACTGGCGCGTCCTCCGCGGCGGCGGCGGGGGAAGAGAGGGAGGGCGTGGGGTCGCAAGAGCAGCAGCCGCAGCAGCAGCAGCAGGGGTTTTCAGAGGAGTTCGTGTGTACGCTGGAGGCGCGGGAGCGGTTCGGGTCGGTTCCAGCGGACAACCAGTGGCACGTGGTGAAGCTGTCCGCGCAGCTGGGGGGAGACGCGGGCGTTAGAGGGGGGGGAGGCGCGGGGGAGAGCAGCATGGGGCTGAGCAGCCGGTGGGGCGGAGGGGGGGAGTATAGCGGGTCGACAGGCAGCGTGGATATGCAGGGATCCAACGGGCAGGCGTCGCACCGTCGCAGCACGTCCTCGCTGCTGCCTTGGTCCTTTTCAGGCAGTGGCAGTGGCAGTGTCAGATGGGGCAGAAGCAGGAGCATCTCAGGAAGGGGGTGAGGAGGAGCATGAGGAGGGGCATGGAGCGAGGAGATGTGGGGTTGTATAGATGGAGGTGGTGAGTACTAAACAGGCAGGGTACAGAGCAAAGAGGTGCTGGAATGTGCAGGAGGGTGCTCATGGCAAGGGTGTGTCATGCTGACGTGGCGTTATACTGCAAGGTGAAGTGCATGCGTGTGTGACTGGCAGTGGTAATAGTGGTGTGGAGACAGGGCGTGGCTGGAGGGTGGGTTGCTCACAGCTTGTGTGTGGAACAGTGCATGCCCTTGTGGGGATCACTCTTGCTCCTCCGTGTGCTTGCTTGCTGCTCTGTGAGCTGCTTTTGCTCCATGCATCCGCCCAGATACGACGTGGTGCGACTGTATATCTTGAGGGTTGCGTACGTGCCTAGATGATGGGCGATAAGGGCGCTGCTCTCTGTAAATGAAGCAGGTGCAACTGTCACACCTGTTGCAGTTTCCGTGTGTTTGTCCTTGTGTTTTCTCTTTTTGAGTGAGTACGGGGCACTCTTGAGGGATTTTCTGACCCCTTTTCTTTATAGATCAAGGGATTCAGGAACACTTTAGAACCGCCGGTGTGAGCTATAATATTTATTACGGCTTTTGTAAGCTGCTGTATTGGCACTAGGGTTTGGTCTGTGGGAAGAATCCATGACTTGCACACTGCACTGCAACGCTTTACTACCGGTAATGACGAGCATATAAGCAGGGGTGCTATCTGCCAATTACTCACATGTCCCCCTACTGTCTCTAAGAAGTTGCACCCTGGTTTTAAACTCGGAGCCCTGCTGCCTGGCCTTGTACAACTGTCCTATGGGATAGCACATACAGTAGTAGTACAGCAACCGAGTACCCTGCTTTATATGGCACACGTGCAGAATGCAGCAAGATACAGGCGCACATTCACCTGGTGCTGCTTGTATGGAGGATTTAATAACGGGTCAGGCTCATTTATGAGCATATGCCACACGGCAAACCTATGATACACAGGCAGGTGCGCACCCTCCTGATTAAATTGGAAACATCCCTGAACCAGGTACGTAGTGATGAAGAGTATGGTATTAAGGCATGAACGGCTCTCAGGATGTCCCCAGTGCTCAGTGCTGTAGTGCAGCTCCGCCCATCCACCACTGCAAAGAGCACCCTCTCTGTGCAGCAGGGATCGTCGTATCTAGGTGGAGAACTGTAGATTGTTCCTGCTTCCGACTGACATGATCTCAGCATTGCCCTGTTTCCCTCAGCCAGTCACAGTGCAGCACCTGTTCAGCTGTCGCCCGCCACCTTGGCTCCACCGTCAGCATCTGCAGCACCGCCTGCCGCGCTGCCCCAGACACTCCCGCCCAGTACTTATCTGAGAACACCACGTGGCCCGCACATGCCTTTTTCCGCGTTTCGTCCTCGGTGCGTCCGTAGAAAGGGAGGCGGCCGGACAGCAGCACGTGGAGCACCACGCCCAGCGACCACATGTCCGCCTCCCGCCCGTACAGCCGCCCGCGCGCCACTTCCGGCGCCATGTAGAACGCCGTGCCCGCCACTCCGCGGATCTGCGCGGACGGCGCGGGGAGGCAGACGGCGAGGCCGAAATCCGCGAGCTTTACGCTCCAGTGGCATAAGGATCTCGCGCCGCCACGACTGCTCGGCCAACTGCATCCGCCATTGCTGCAAGCACTGTCGTCGCAACTGCCGCCGCTCGGGCAGGAGGGTACCCTAGGGCTGCCGCTGGCGCTAGCGCTGGTGCTGCCGCTCTCGCTGCTCGAGCAACTGCTATCTTCGCTTCTCCGCCGTCCTCTCTCTGCGCAATCCTCGCGCGCTGTGTCGCCGCTGTTGCTAGAAACACCGCTGATCGCGTCTATTCCCGTTCGACTGCAAGTCTGGCAGTCAGCAGTGGTCATGCAGCTAGTATTGCTGCAACACAGCAGCACGTTCTCCGGCTTTAAGTCGCGGTGGATCACTCCTATTTTGTGAAGCCCTGCTACTGTCGTCAGCAGCTGCCTGATGACGTCAGCAGCCTCGTGCTCAGGTAGCCGTTGGCGCGACTTGATCAGGGCCGAGAGCGACCCGGCGTTGCACCGCTCCATGACGAGATGCACGTGGTCGCGCGATTCCCGCACATCCAGCAGCCGCACCACGCCACTCACTTCACTGCGGGAGACGAGCCGCATGATTGCCACCTCCTGGCGGAAGTCATCCGCGAAATCCGGATTGTCGAGTGCTAACACCCGCTTCGATATTGTCTTGACTGCGACCTCGCCGCCTGTTGCGGAGTCTCGGCACACGCGAACGGTGCCAAAGGCGCCGCGACCGAGCGTGTGGCCTGTGGGGACGTATCTGGATAGGGGCTCGCCGGGATGCGCGGGGAAAATGAGGGCTGCAGGGGAGCTGCAGTCGCTCGACGAACACGATCGGCTGCAGAGATCGAACGGCAGGCAAAGGCTCAGGCTGCTCCGACTGTGAGGTGGTGTCAGGTGGCTCTCTGTGTCGCACTCGTCACAAAACGCATCCACTCTCTTCTCGATAAAATCATGAGTCGGTGAACCGAAGCTGGGCGAAGGACTCTCCGTATTGATTTGTCTGTGTAGGCGGGCAGTGGTTCCTGTAGCGCGCCGAGCCGGACTGGTGCTGTGATTAGAAGCGTCGCTGTCAGACGCACAGACGATGTCATGGTTTAAACCACCTGCACATAGACCTTCTAAGATAATGCCGCTCATGGGAAGCGCCGCACGCCGCAAGGACGCAGCGCGAGAGGCGCGTGACTTTTCTAGACGGCTGGTTGCTACCGCACTTTCTGACTTCTGTCGCCCTAAGTCGCGAAAGCGGCGAGGATAGGCTGGCGAGTGATCGCTATAGGCGGACGACGACAGCGACGACGACGACGACGACGACGAGCTACTTCGTCGCAATCTGCTCTTCACGTTGCCCATGTTACTTCTGCATGGTAAAAAAGTACGTGGGAATACTACTTGTCAGTTGTGAGCGCCAAGATGGAAGGCCACGAGGTGGAAGATAGGGTTCTGAAGCCGTGAGCATCAGATTCAGCTCCTGCTTGGAAAACCGCCTTGCGTAGCGCTCGCTTGAGTTCTGATCACAATTGACTGATGATACGAAGAAGGGTTTCTGTCATTAGATAACGGGGAGCTATTTGAGCAATGCTTTAGCACCAGGGAGAGGGATTGTCGGTGGTGGGTGGGTGGGCTGGAGTAGAGTGGTGGTGGTGAGGGAGAAGAGAAGAGTGAGCATTGAGCGACACAGCACGGCACAGATGGAGGTGGTCTTGGATCCTTGGCACGACTCACCTCAGCTGTTTCGTTCAATCACTCCCGCGAATTGGTGAACATCTCGCTCGAGTCGCGCTCGCCAGGAGAAGAGCTGGCAGAACGAGCGAGAGGCTGGTGATTTGAAAAAGTACAGTGCATGGTGATAACCACTCGATTTTGTTTGAAAGGAAGGGGGGTACGGGCGTTCACGACTCTCTCTTTTTCGACTAGATTTTCCCGTTCGTTGGTTCCTGGTAACAGCCATTATAAAGCTCCACTCTAAAATGCCTTGCTTCAAGGAACCAGGTTTCTGGGTTCGACAAAACAAAATCATGCGAGTGCTGACGGAATTCGTTTCCGGCTGACCTGTTGCAGGGGGGTTTGGCACCCTAAGCTAGCATCTGCGATCCGACATCCGCGCCGCAGGTAAAGGGGCTAGGAGAAGCCAATGACGGCGAGATGATACTAACGAGCAGCTTATATCACAGCGTATCACGTCACGAGCAGTTTCTGCGCAGAGCGGTTCCACCAGAGCACATAAACCACAGTTGGTACCTCGTCCTTCCTCCATACAAGGTTTCACGCAAAACTGTCTGCGACCGACTAACAGACCAGAAACACCAGCCGTGGTAAATAGATTTCTTACTCAAACAAAAGATCCATTTTCTGTTGTCCTTTATGCTCCTATTGGGATGCTCGGCGAGGAAGTTTGACTTCTGAACAAGAATTGAATCAACTTGAAGAATTCAGCTGCTTTGTAATGTAACAGCACATTGTACATGTCATCACGAAGCCACTTTGTCCTTGAAATCGTTGTGCCCAAACAATGCTAGGCCCTTCGGCCCTGGATTGCTAATTGATCCACCCCTCGTCGTCCTCCATGTCCTTCTAACTGGGCCCTCCGTGCAGCAGCAGCTGCTGCTGAAACCACTTCTCTTGCAGCAGCCCGCACCTCTGCCTCCTCTTTCTGCGCCTTTGCATCCGGCTGGGCATACAGTGACGCATACACGACACGGGTGCGCAGAATAAGGATGAGGTTCAAGCACACCCCGAGCAGGCACACCGCGGCCATGATGAAGAATGTGAGGCGGAAGCAGTGCGCGCCGTAGCACTCCTCGACCTTGTCTGACACTGGCCACTCCGCCCCATGCAGACCGCCGCTGCCCACGGTGCTCATGCTCTGTGTCACCACACTGCTGCTGCTGCTGGCGCTGCTGCTATTGCCATGCAACAGAATTTCAGATGTCGCACGCAAGACGCGTCGGGACAGAGAGTCTGAAGCAGAAACAACCGTGTGCGCCACAGCAGGTGATGCACCACCCGCCCCTGCCAGCCCTGCCACTCCCCCTACCCCAGCAGCACTAGCCGCAGCACTCACCCCACTCCACGGCCACACCCCATTGAACCCCCACCCTCCCCCCACCCTGCCGCCACCCCCACCCCCACCCCCGCCATGATCCTTCTCCGCCTCCCGATCATACAAATACCCCGCAATCATCCCAGAAAAGACAAACGAGCCCATGGGGCAGGCGGCGGTGAGCGTGTTGTAGAGCATGCCGAAGTGCTTGAGGCCAAAGATTTCACTGGCCGTGGCCGGCATGATGGACCAGTGCACGCCGTAGCACAGCCCCACTATCACCGACCCCAGATGCAGCGAGGAGGGGAATGCCAGGGCGAAGAAGATGTGGCCTACGGCCATGAGGGATTGCGCTAGCAGGAGAAGCACGGGGCGCGGGAGCATGTGATCCCTGGGGGGACGGAGGGGGGAGAGGAGAGGGGAATGGGCAGGATAGGAGGGAGGTGAGGGTTGGAGCATGGGTGGACCAGGAGGGGGGAGGAGAGGAGGGAAGGTGGGTTGGTAATGGCAAATGTGGTGATGGCAAATAGCAATGGCAATGGCAATGGCAGGATAGTGTGGCGCAATGGTGCACATGTGTGTGGCCCGTGCTTGCACCGTGTAGTGACACATACATGCACCCACATACAAATGAACCCACGCAGCCACCCACAGCCCCATGCACCCACACCCCCAGGCACCCACTTGACCACATGCTCCGATGCATATCCCGCCAGCAGCCGCCCCACGAAGTTGCTGACGCTGAGCAGCGACAGGAACACACGCACACTCGAGTACCCCTGTGCCGCGCCCATCTGCGCCAGGTTGTTAATCGCCGTCAGCCCGCTGCCCGTGCCGCACAGGAACGACACAAACAGCAGCCAGAAATCCGCCTTCACTGCCGCCTGCTGCAGAGTGAAGTCCTGCCCTCTTCTCGGCCCTGACCGGCGCCTGCCCCCTCCCACGCGCACTGCTCCCTCGCCCACTGCCAGTAGTAGTTCTGCTTGCTTGCGCCGCCGCTCCTCCTCTGTGTGGTGGTGGTGATGGTGTTGCTGAAGCTGCTGCTGCGTTGGGAGGCTGGTGGACGGGCGGAGGGGCCAACAGGAGATGGGGAGGCAGCGGGAGAGGAAGGAGAAGTGGGAGGAGGCGGTGGTGCTGGGTGGAGGGGAAGGCAGTGCGGATGGCGCTGCTGCTGCTGTTGCTGCTGCTGCTGCTCCGGCGACTGGCCCAGGTCCCCGCCTTGCCCCCTCCCCCTCCTCCTCCTGCTGCTGCCGCATCAAGAGCGGCTCTTTCAACACGTCCCCAGCACCGCCAGCACCCATAGATGGGGACGCCGGCGCTTCCTTGCGCGCCGAGTCAGAGGTGCTCCCTTGTGCAGGGGGGCGGAGCGAGGAGAAGCGCTGTGACGCTGGTGCCAGGGCCGCTGCCAGTCCCACAGGGCTGCGCAGGGAGGACGCAGCAGTAGTAGTAGCAGTACCGCTGGTAAGGCTCGCACCTGTTGCTGCACCTGCAGGTGGAACTGTGGCAGCAGCGCCAGCAGAAGCTGCAGGTGCAGCAGCAGAGGTCGCGGAGGGAGCAGCGAGGGTGAGTGAGGGAGGCGGGGGGGAGGTGCCAATGGTGAAGGCAGGCGCGGGCGGGGAGAAGGTGGATTGTGAGAAGACCGGCCTGGCCCTGGGAGGCGCCAGTGAGAGGGCGGAGGAGGAGGAGGCGGAGGCGGAGGGGATGGAGCCTGACGGAGGGTAATAATATCCTCCCGTGCTGCTACAGCTCCCTGCCTGCTGACTGCCCATGGGACTGCTGCTGCCCCCCACGCCCTGGACTGCGAGGAACACACCCGACGACCCTCCACCCGCGCCCATGCTGCTGCTGCTGCTCCCCTCCGTCGCCCAGTAAGCGCCCGAAGCACCCCCCATGGCACCACCGCCACCCATGCCCATGCCCATGCCCATGCCCATGGGCGAGGGCATTCCTAGCGCGCCCCCTCCTCCTCCTCCTCCGCGAGCGAAGTAGGACTGGAGGTCAGCGAGGGAGCTGACGCGGCTGATGTCCGACAGCAGAGAGTCGTAGCTCTCACTGCGCTCCAACACTCCCCCCCGGAACCCGCCCCCCGTCCCCTCCCCCTCCCTGCCGCGCCTGTCCCCCCCCAGAAGTGACTCATCCTCCGGGAAGCTTCCCAGCATCACTGCCCGCTCCTCCCTCGCCTCCCCACCTCCCGCTCCCCCCGCCCCCCCTGCTCCCGCTGCCCCCGCTGCTGCCCCCGCCTCCCCGCCGTCCCACGTCCGACTCCTCTCCAGCCCCCCCTCGCCTGCGCCCCCATCTTCCGCGGAGGGGCGGCGGGACTTGGGGGGAGTGACGGAGGCGGTGGGGGTGAGCGCGGTGGAGGGGAGCGCGGAGGAGGTGGGGACGAGCGGGGGGAGGAAGGTGGCGAGCGGCAGCAGCAGGAACGACACCATGCCCGCGAGAATGCCGCGGTTGAACTGCACAAGAGGGGAGGACGGGTTGCGGGAGAGCGTGGGGGGCGAGTTGGGGGGAAGGAAGAGGGGAACGGGTTGGGGGGAAGGAAGGGAGAATGGGTACGCAAGACGGACGGGCAGACGGAGGAAGAGGGGGAATGGTGAGTTGGATGTGTGTTGGTGGCGATAGCGAGCATCCGGAAGGAGGAGAGAGGGAGCAGGCAGCAATCCCGATTCCAGTGAGGCACAGCACGATGGCCACTCAGCCCTTCCCATCATCGTCCTCCTTCCCACCCAACCGCCCCGGTCCATACTTATCTCCCCCACTTCCTCCGCCCCTCTCCCTCTCCTCCACTCCTCCCTCCTCCCTCTTTCCAATTCCCCATTCCAGCACTCTCCCATCTCTCCACTTCCCCATTTCCCCATTTCCCCATTTCCCCATTTCCCCATTTCCCCATTTCCCCATTTCCCCATTTCCCCCCTTTTCCCATTGCCCCTTGCCCACCTCCACCCCGCCCGTCGCCGCACCTGTTGCGAGGAGTTGCTGTCGTGGAGCAGCATGGCGAGCAGCAGGTACGCCGCGAGCCCCAGCGCGATCACCAGGAACGTGTGCAGCGTCTGCGCCTCGTGCTCCTCGCGCCGCCGCACGTCGCGCTCCGTCTCGTGCGCCGTGCAGTGCCCCGCGCGCAGCCGCTTCGACGGCCTGCAGCGCGCGGTGGAAGGGGAAAGGGGCGGGTAAGGGGAAAGAGGGGGGAAGGGGAAAGGGGGCGGAAGGGGAAAGGGGGGGAAAGGGGAAAGGGGGGGGAAGGGGAGTTGGCGCGGGGAGGAGGCGGGGGTTGGTTGGGAGGAAGGGGAGGCGGAGCGGGGAAGCGGGGCACTTCCTAATTCCGTAAATTCGTCCATCCACACGTGGCGCGATTCCGACAAACCTGAGGAACGTCATGGCGGGGAGCGACACGAGCGGCGGCACGACGGCGATGAACCCGAGGTACGCCGCCTGATCCGGCGCGATGAGCGCGGCGTACACCTGCGTGAAGATGGCCCCCGACAGCCCCACGACGCCTTTAAGTAGCCCCACCACCGAGCCGCGCGAGCGCGGGAAGTTGCGCACGCACGTGACGAGCACCGCCGTGTTGAACCACGCCGTGCCCTGCGACCCCATCAGCATCAGCCCGCACATCTGCGCGCGACCGCGCGCGCGTCGCGGGGGAGGCGGGCACGCAGCAGGGAGTTGGGTGCGGGAGGGGGGGAATGCAGGGAGGGGAGTGGAAGGGGTGGGGAAAGGGAGCGGGGAGGAAGAAGAGGGGAGTTGGAGGTTGGAGGGGTGGGGGAAAGGGGTGACCAGTGAGGGTGGCAATGTGGGAGGAACGAAAAAGCGATTCGGATCGACAAACGAAAGGCATTAAAGTGTCGCGGGCTTCGCACTACCGTACGCGTCCATGCGGCCCCATTCCCCCGCCCCTCCTTGGTCTGTCTCCTCCCTCACGCGCCCGCCTCCCGCATTCGCTTGCACTCTTCCTTCCCGTCCCGCCATCCCCATAATCCCCACTCCCCATGCTCCATTCCACAGCCACCTCCCCGCCCATCCCCCTTCTCTTCCCCTCACGCCCCTGCGCGCGCGATCTCCTATCCCTCCTTCCCCACGCTCCCCTGGCCGCGTACCTGCCAGAACGGCAGCGGCAGAATCCGCTGAGTGGCGACGGCGAAGAGCCCGCTAAAGCCGACGAGATAGTGCAGCGACCCGACGAGCACGAGCGCCCACACGGGCAGCGCGTCGCACAGCAGCCCCGGCAGTAACCCCACGCTCTCGCCCATGTCCTTCGCCACCGCGAGCCCGTCCACCTCCCGCTGGTTGTACCCGCCGACGGCTTTAAGCGCCGGCGAGTAGATCGCGAACGTCGCGGAGCTCCCCGCGCACGCGAGCAGCCATAGCCCGCAGATGAGCCCCAGCCAGCGGTTGTGGCACAGTGAGTTGATCGTGCGCTCCACGCGCGCCCAGAGGGACGGGGGAACGGGAGGCGGAAGCGGCGGGGGAGAGATTGCGCGCGGGGAGCAGAATCGCGGGGAAATGGGGTTGTCGGGCGCGGGACCCGCGGAAGAGGCACCGAGCGGGGATGGGAGGTACGGAGAGGGGGGATCGAGGCGAGAAGGGGTAGAAAAAGCGGGGGAGGCGGGGGAGGGAGAGGAGGCAGGGGCGGAGGAAGACGGAGTGACTTCCTGAAGGGCCATGAGGCGAAGTGACAGGATGCAACTTGCGCCGACAACAATTACCGCGCTTCCTCGCTTTCACGCTGCGCACGCATGGGTCTCAGAGCGGGTGGGAAAACGAGACGAATGGGACCAACAAGTTTTCCTGTGAAATCTGTCTAAGCGGCAGTCTAGGCGGAGATTCGAATTCGCGATCTCAAATGTCAAGAAGCTCGGCAGAGAAACTTCAGCTTTCCAGCTGGTGCACGAAGAAAAGCGCAAGCATGGGGAAGGATGGTTGCCTGCCTGCATGGTTGCTGCGACAGAATTAGCGTTCGCATGGGGTGGCAGCACGACGGTGGGATCGCATCGTCGGAGGGGCAACTGCGAAATTTGTCAATGAAAGCGCCATCCCAATTTCCACCGCTGCCTCCACTAGGCGTCGTGCGAGCAACGTACTGCTGTCGCAGATTGAGCTCGTGGAGGCGAATTTGTGCGGGCACTGTGCGAAGTACGCTGCAGCTGGTCTGCCCGCAGTTCGAGAGCTGGTTTGTTCTTGACCTGAGGTCCCCAGAAGTATTCCTGAATTTGACACATGCCGTTTGTGTCTCAACTAGCTTACTGACAGATCACGGGTTTCCGACACGAATGGTTGAGAAATTCGTGTGAAGTCTCCAAAATCTGGTGCTTTACGGCCAGGCATACGCCCTCAAAAATCACATCTAGATGGTGTCGCAATGAATGTCGCAAGAGCCAATCAGGTGAGCAGGAAGTGGGAGATCCCCGCGAAGTTTCCAAGGACTTCTGGGTGGACGTGGACGACAAATGGAATTGGATGCGACATGGAGCGACAGCAGATGCGCACCCGCTCATTGGACGAAAGTGCTGGCTGAAAGTTCGTCGTGTATTGCGTACAAATAGGAAAAAATAGTTGAATATTGTCGGATTCTGTACCTTATATCCTACATGCACGATCTCATACTTGCAACTGGGCCGCATTATACCGCAGCTTTCACAACACTTGAATCTTGGGAGCTGCAGCAGCACCTCCAGACCCGACCAGAGGCCAAGCGCGACGGACCGCGTCATCTCCGCGATGGCGCCTACCGAGAGACGACAAGGCCGAATCCTCTTCGCAGTTGCCGCTTGACTAGTACGCGACAGGTGGCCATTGCTCCTCTGAATCTCAATGTGATTCCAACGCGCTCCGCCATGCTTTCCCTCCGGCCTTTTCGAGCGTGGACTAGATCTCGCTCGGTCTAGATCACGCGTGCCAGCCTGCAGTCCGCCACGGTTCCCGCCTCCAGTGATCCACAGCCATGGACCCTCCTCAACTCGCGCTAGCTCTTCTCCCCCATCCCCCCACGCTACTATCCGAGATCGCATCGCTCCCCTGGGACCTACTCCTCCTCCTCTCCTCCCGCCTCTCCCGCGCATTCCTCTCTCCTCTCCCCCGCCCCGCTCTCCTCTCCACGCTCCTCCTCCTCCTCCTCCTCGCCCCGCCGATCTACCTCTGCGCGCGATGGTCCGACGCGCTCTCCCTACCGCACGCGCGCTTCGACCCGCTCCTGCTCCTGCAGATCGCGTTCATCCCGTGCCTCTTTGAGGAAACTCTCTTCCGCGTGCTCCTGCTCCCGCACCCCGCGGAGCTATCTCCAGACGTCATGGCGCCCGACGAGGCGCTCCCGTTCGCGCTCTTCTGGTGGCTGCTGTCAACGGCTCTCTTCGTCTTCTACCACCCCGCGTGCGCGCTGCTCTTCCGCGAGCCCGCCGTGCGCCTCTTCACGCATCCGGGGTTTTTATTGGCGTGTTGCCTGCTCGGGGGCGGCTGCGCTTGGCTGTATTTGAGTGTGGGATCCGTGTGGCCGTGTGTGGCGGTGCACTGGGTGGTGGTGGCGGTGTGGCTATCGCTGGGGGGCCACCATCAGGCGCCTCTATGATACTACACACTGGTCACACTGGCTTCAGTTCTGCTCAACTTATGTGTCATATATGATTCGTTCTTCTTTTCTTTTCTTTTCTGTGTTCGGTCACTAGAGAGAAGGAGGTTGAGGCAGCACCGGTGAATCTCGTGTGGAGCTTCCTGGAGCTCAGCCGCTGCACCACCACCAGCACAAGCAGCACCAGCAGTAGCAGTGCGGCATTGTCGCCTTCTGATTGCCAGGAACCTGTTATACATAGGGTGGAGGAAGGGCGAATGACAAGTTGAATGCCGGTGCACCACTCACAGCAGTACCGTAAGACTGGTGAAGGCGCTGTGGTAGAAAGGTGTGGGATGGGATGGGAGAGAGCTTCAGTGCGAGAGAGATTCTCAACTGAAGATACGGTATGTGCATCTGATCTACATGGTCTAGCGCGTGCAAGAGGTCTCCCAGCCTTCACTGCATCGCTTGAAGCAGCCTGTGCTGCACGTATGTTCAAGAACCAGGATGGGGAGTGCAAACAAACACATGGGGAGTACACATGTGCTGTTTTTGTTGCCCCTTCACTTTGCCCCTTCACTGTGCCCCCCTCCACATCCTTGCCATCCATTCTTTCGTCCCTCAGTGTTGCTAGAAAAATCGCAAGCAAACACCTCTGGATTCAATTCTGGGCACTGTGTTCCCCCAACTGACAGTAAGTGGGGAGATTGGCTTGTGCAGAATCCCCACCCCACAGATGCGAACATACAGTACTTCCCATCCCATGTCAGAATTTTCATGCACAGCAGCTCGCTCACAGTGAAGAGCACATCAATCAATCAACTAATTAAATGTAACAAATTAGCATGGACCGTACGGTCATCAATTCAGCTGCTTCTCGTCTCGGTGCCCTAAAGCACACATCTGTCATCTTACTAGTAAGGCTTCTGAATACCACACTGTGCGGCACCTGATCTGTCTGTAGCCCCTCATGACTACAGTATCACCTCACCAACCCACTGCAAGAAGCTCTCTTGTTATCCACCCAGCCCAACCCAACCCTAGCATCGCCAAAAGCAGGGAGCATGTATGTATGCACCCATGGCTTTTCCGAAGCCCATTACCTTCCCATGACCTCCCAGGTGCATCTTTGTCTCCTTCCTCCCCTATCTCCTCACCACCCATCTGCAACGCCTGTGGCATCCCATCCCACCACCAAGCACATGTGCCTCTGTGCTTGTAGGCAACAGCTGGGTAGATCAGGGCAGGGGGCCGATGGTCGTGCATGCTATGTGGTGTAAGCCACGATCCAAGGGTGGCCTGGGGGACAGGAGGTGAGAAGATGTGTAAAAAGGTGATCAAGGGGAACAGGGCAGGGCAGCATGTGAGTGCATTCAAAAATCCCAATCGCTGGGCAAAGTGGATATGAGGCGCCTAAGAAAAAAACAAATTGCTGAGTGTGTGTGTGGGTGGATATGGGTGTCTGTGTGTGAAGGAAGGGGAAGAGCGGAAGGGGGTAAGTGGGGGCGATGGAGGAAAGGGTGCAATTCAGCTGCACGCACATGCCAGCTAGCGCGCTTGACAAATCTACTCTGCACAACCACACCCCCACTTCCCACCCAAACCAACACCCCCACCCGCCCCACCCAATCCCCACCCTCACCAACCCCCACACCCACCCACCCACACCAACACTCCCCCCACCCATACCCATACTCACACCCGCACCCGCCCCCCTCCACTCACGCAGAATCCCCTCCACAGTGATCCGCTTGGCGTAGTTCTTGCACAGCATCCGCCGCACAAGATCCTTTGCCGCGTCCGACACCTGGGGCCAGGGGTCGGTGTCAAAGTCAAGGTGGCCCCACAGCACGCTCTTGAAGATCTCCTCCGTGGTGTCGCCCCAGAAGGGCGGCAGGCCGCACAGCAGGATGTACAGGATGACGCCCGCGCTCCACACGTCCGCCTCCACGCCGTAGTTCTTGTTTATCACCTCGGGCGCGATGTAGTTCGGCGTGCCTGCGCGGAACGTGCACCGCTCGCCTGGGGGGAGACGGAAGCGGGACGAGGGGGTGGGGGAATGGGGGGGGTGGGGGTGGGCGAGGGGGTTGGGTGAGTGGAGACGAAGTGGAGAGGAAGTGGAGTGGGGGAGGGGCGTTGGGGTTTGGTTTGGGAGCTGGGGTGAAGGGGGCACTTGGTGCAACGGTGGAACAGATGGGGCCACGAGGAGGAGGAGTGGGTTTACACCGGTGGTGGCGGTGGCGGTGGTGTGGTGGTGGTGGTGGTGGTACAAGCGACAGCGTTGAATGGGGGTTGGGGCTCCATGCGCCACCACCAACCCCACAAACACATGCCCCACCATCCCACCCACGCCATCCAAGCCCCAAACAAACGCTCAACCACACACACCCGCACGCACACACCCGCAGACCCAGCCTCCATGACAAGCAGCAGCACACGCACCAGGCTGGAAGATATAGGCCATGCCATGACAACCTTGCAGTGTCACCCACCCGCACATCCCCCACCCGCCATCCCCCACCATGAACCCACACGCACCAGTTGTGCACGGAATCTGAAAGCTCTTACCAGGCTGGAAGATGTACGCCATGCCGTAGTCTATGACCTTGCAGCGCCACCCACCCACACACAACCCGCCAACCCCCACCATCAACCCACACGCACCAGTTGCACGACGTCTCAAAGCTCTTACCAGGCTGGAAGATGTATGCCATGCCGTAGTCAATGACCTTGCAGCGCGTGTCGCTCCTCTTGCTGGTGAGCAGGATGTTTTCGGGCTTGAGGTCGCGGTGCAGCACGGCCAGCCCGTGGCAGTGCTGCAGCACGTCAATCACCGTGCGCGTCACCTTGGCCGCCTGCCGCTCGCTGTAGTACCCGCGCTCCTGGATGCGGTCAAACAGCTCGCCGCCCTCGCACAGCTCCATGATCAGATGCACCTCCTGTGGGGGGGAAGACGGGGGGCCCGAAGGGGGGGAGTGAGGGATGGGGGTGCAGGGGAGGTAGACGTGTGAACGGCGCTCGCTGTAGTACCCGCGCTCCTGAATGCGGTCGAACAGCTCCCCGCCCTCGCACAGCTCCATGATCAGATGCACCTCCTGTGGGGAATCGAAGAGGGGAGAGTGATGGGGGAAAAGTGAGGGGAGGTGCCGGGGAGGCAGACGTGCAAAGGCCGCTCGCTGTAGTACCCGCGCTCCTGGATGCGGTCAAACAACTCTCCTCCTCACACAGCTCCATTACCAGTTCCATGATCAGATGAGCTTCCTGGGGGAGAATCAAGGAGGGGAGTGTTATAAGACGGGCCAATCAGTGATGGGGAAAGTGATGGGGGTGCAGGGGAGGCACACTCGGAAACTCGGCTCGCTTTATGTAGTACCTGCGCATAGGGATGGCCTCTCAACAGCTGGAAATTCGTCTCGTGCCCCGCAAAGTCTGTTTGAAAAGGGGGAAGGGCGTGGTCCCACCTTATGGTCCTCGACTGTGTCAATGAGCGTGAGAATTCTCATCTGTTGGGGTAGGGTGCGCTTGAGAATTCTCAAAAACACCCTGCAACACCCTGCAACACCCCGCATCTCCCTACAACGCCCTCGACTGTGTCGATGAGCGTGATGATGTTGGGGTGGCTTCGCAGCAACTTCAAAGTCGTCTCTTCTTAACCCGCGAATTCTAGATTCAAAGGGGAAGGGGAAAGCCAGCACCCACCTTTTTCTCCTCGACGGTGTCGAGGAGAGTGATGACGTTGGGGGTTTTTGAGGCGCCTCAAAAAAGGGGACGGGCGTGAGTGATCATACCTTTTGGTCCTCGACGGTGTCCAGGAGAGTGATGACGTTGGGGTGGCCCTTGAGCACCTCCATCACCGCCACCTCCCTCCGCACGTCCTCCACGTCCTCCCAGCACTGCATTCAAGGGGGAGAAGAGGGGGGCGAGAAGACAGGAATTGTGAGAAAAGAAACCAAGACATGATTGCTCAGTCGCTCCTATCACCGCCACCTCCCCCCGCACGTCCTCCACGTCCTCCCAGCACTGGCGTGCATACAAGGGGGGGAGGCGGGCGGGATGGGGAGGAGGAGGGGAGGGATACGGGAATAAAGAGGGGGAAAGCAAGACATGGTTGCTCAGCAGCTCCATCACTGCAACCTCCCACCGCACGTCCTCCACGGCCTCCCAGCACTGTCGTGCACCACATGCCCACACACACATGCGACATCACATGCATTGTCACATGCATTGTCACACGCATATCACAAGCACACAGGCACATACGCAGACGCAGTCATGCATACAGGGATGCTTGCCCACACCCCATACAGCCCCACCCCACACTCCCAGCCCCACACACATACCCATGCTTTCAATCATCCCAGTGAGTTTTGAGATGCCTCAAATAAAACGCCCACATGAGCTAACAAGCACATGGAAAGCACGAGCGCAGGGGCGTTCAATTGGGAAAGGAACAATGGGAGATAGAAAAAAAGAAGGAACGTAGCAGTATGAAAGGAGGAACGGTTTGATGGAGATGCAAGTTAGGTAGGTCAGTGCTGCTCAACCTCCCCAGTAGAGGTCAGGAACGATTCTTTGTGTCCCTTCTTCCACTTATCTCTGGCCATCTCACCTTTATGTTCTTCTCCCCCGTCCTCCCCTTCTCCCCTTCTCCCCCCCTCCCCTCTCCCCACCTGCTGGCTCACCTGAAGGTTCTTCTTCTCAATGGTCTTGCACGCAAACCTCTCCCCGGTCTCGCGCTTCTCGCACACGCGGATCACTCCAAAATTGCCGCGCCCCAGCTCCTTGCGGGACAGCCGGTACACCTCGGATAGCACCACAAACGGCTTCTGCAGCACATTTGACGTCGCCGGTGTCACTGCCGCCGCTGCCACTCCCTCTACTGCTGCTGCTCCCGCTGCTGCTCCCGCTCCCGTTGCTCCTGCTCCTGCTGCTGCTGCTGCTGCTGCTGCTCCTCCTCCTCCTGGGGCCCCTGCTGCTGCTGCATCCACCGCCTCTCCTCCATGCCCTAGCATCTGCCCCTCCCCCTCCTGCCCCACACCCTCCCCTCCCCCACCTCTCGGGCTCCCCCCGGACTTATACGAATAATAATAATCGCTCACGTTGGGCGTGCGGGGGGGCGCAACAGGCGGGGGCGACAGCGACCCAGAAAGGCGGGGCGACGTGGTGGGAGTAGTGTTGGGAGTGGCGCGCTTGAAGTTCTGCAGCTCCCACAGTCGCTCAGGGTCAAGCAGAGGGCCAGGACTAGACGTCTGGCTGCAGGGACTCACTCCCTCCTGGGGGCTCGCAAGGTTGTACGGGCTGTTATAGCCGCTCGTAGGGCTTGTTGTCTGGGAGAAGCACGTTCCACTCCCCAGGTTCTTCCTAGACCCGAACTGTGCTTCAGCACTCGCCCCAAAGCTCCCCCCTCCGCCTCCTCCTCCTCCCCCCCCTGCGCCGCCTCCCCCTGCTCCTCCTCCCCTGGCTGTACCCCCCCTGTCTCCGCCCCGCTCCGCGCCCCCTCCGCCGCTCCCCGCGCCTCCCAGGCCGTGAGAGTCGCTGCCGCTGCCCCCGGCGCCACCGGTGCTGGTGCTGCGCGGCAGGTTGATGTGCATGCCGCCACGCGCCTTGAGCTTCAGCGCAACACTCCCCAGCACTGCACTGCTGCTCCCATTGCCAGGAGCACCACCGTGCCCCTGGAAGCTGCTTGCACTTGCACTGGTGCCGCTGCTCGTGCTTGTGCTTGTGTTTACCCCTATGCCTGCGCCCATGCCTGCGCCTGCGCTTGCACCTGCGCCCTGCCCGCCTGCCCCCTGCGCGCCACTGTGGTGCACCCCAGGGGGGGAAGCAGAGCAGGAGGCGGAGGCGGGCTTCGAAGGGCTACCATGCAGCTTCCCGTCCTTGCTTGGGCGGGCAGAGACGGCAAAAGGTTTCGACGAGGGAGCAGACGACTCGGGAGACAGGGCGGACGGGGAACTGGAAGCTGGTGATGAGTTCCCCGCTCCTCCTCCACCACCACCACTCGCCCCGCCTGCCCTCTCCGCCTCTCCTCCCCATGCTCCTCCTGCTCCCGTCCCTCCTTCTCCCCCTCCGCCTCCACCTCCGCCTCCGCCTCCCACTCCCCCGCCCGCTCCCCCTCCCCCGCCTGCGACCTTCAACCCGCTGCCTCCAATGCTAGCCTTGGAGGGCACAGAGAGGGGGCTGCTGCCCCTACCCGCAGGCACGGCCACACCTCTGCCCCTGGGGCTGTTCACCCCTAGCTCACCCACCGTCACAGACGAAAACATCCCCTTGCTGCCGCCGCTGCCACCGCTGCCTCCGCTCCCACCGCTCCCACCACTGCCGCCGCTGCCATTGCCAGCACCGCTACCACCGCTGGAGCCGCCGCTGCTGTTGCCTACGCCTCGGTTGCCATGCGCCATGCCCCCTGCTGCTCCGCCAACCCCCCACATGCCTGCTCCCGGGACAAAGTATCCAGGACCGGCACTCTCGCTCCTGCGGTGCCGCGACCGTGCTGCTGCTGCTCCCATCGCCTCCTCCCCACTGCTGCGCTGCCTGTTACCACTGCCGCTGCTGCTGCTGCTGCCGCCGCTGTTACCGCTGCTGCTAAAACTGTTGCTCATGCCCATGCCAGTGCTTGCGGTCCCGCTGCTGCCCTCCCGGCTGCTGCTGCTCGCTCCGCCCTCCCCTGCTCCTCCCCCAAGCCCCTTTCTCAACCCTGACCCCATTTCCGCCCCTACTGCCGCCACTGCAGCTCCTGCACTTGCCAAGAAGCTTCCACTTGTGCTACGGGCTGTAGCAGCGCGGGAAGGCCCAACGGCAGCGCGGGGGGGGCTGCGGGGGGGAGGCCTGCTGGACTGGGGGGAGGCGGAATGCGCCCCTGTTCCTCCCCCTGGGCCCATCCCTGCGATTCCCCCGCCTATGCCTGCATTCCCTACTGAAGCTGACGCAGTGATGCGGGGGGGGGACGAGTTGGGAGGGGAGATGGAGTGTGAGTAGGAGCGCTGGTGCCCCGGCTTTCGCCTCACTGCTTTCATCTGCTGCTCTAAAGCATCCTCTGGGCTCGTTCCACCCATGTGATGCCCCTGTAACGCCCCTGACGGACCTGCCGCCCCGAACGCCCCGGCCGTTCCTGCCCCTGCCCCTGCTTCGCTCTGCCCAGGCCGTACGCCTCTCCTCACACCTGCGCCCATCGCCTCCCCCCCTTGTCCCCCTTGTCCCCCGTGTCCCGCGCTCCTCAATCTAGAATCACCCGCCGAGTCAGGCTCATGGAGCCCCGCCCGCGCGCGCACTGCTCCGTCATGCGCCCCTCCGCCCATACCTCCCCCTGCGCTTCCCCCTGCGCTTCCCCCTGCGCTCCCTCCTGTGCTTCCGCCTGTAATTACCCCCGCGCCTCTCTGCAGTCCCGCGTCCAGTGACCGCCGGCCAGCGCTCTTCCCCCCTTCACCGTACCCCCCGCCACTGAGTGCCTTCCCCCTACCCTCGTCCTCCGCGTGCGCCCTCCCCGCTGCGCCGTCCCCCTTCTCCTGCGCGCCCTCGCGTGTGTCAGCATCTACTGCTCCTTGTAGCTTCTGCCACTGATGCTGCTGCTGCTGCTGCTGCTGCCGCAACCGCTGCTGCTGCTGCTCTAAAACGTCCACTGCCGCGCCCAGTATCCCCCTCCCCCCTCCCCCTCCCCCTCCCCCTCCCCCTCCCCCTCCCCGCCCTCTCCCCAGCGCGGACCCCTTCATCCCCGAGGATCCCCCGCCAGCTGCGCCTCTTCCCCCTCCGTGACCATCCGGGGAGCCCCCTAGGGCTTCCCTGCTAGCCGCCGCCGCCCCCGCGCCTACGGGGGAAGCTGAGAGGCGCTCCTGCGAGCGCTCGTGGTCGGACGAGGGGACGGAAGAAACGGAGTGGGAAGGCGGGAACAGCATTGACCGCGAGCGCCGCCGCTCCTTCTGGCTGCCTATCCCGCGCGCCAGCACAGGCATGCCCGCTGCTGCCTTCTCAGGCCCTCTCTCCTGCGGAGCTCTCTCTGCTGCTCTCTCCGCAGGTCGTTCGGGCACCGGTTTCCGCTCCCCCCCAATCCTGTCCATGCCTTCGCGCTCACCTATTTGCCCGGGGCCGCCCTTTGCGCCGTTGGCGATGGTCCCCGCGTCCCCCTTGCGCATCTGCGCGCCGTGGTCCGCCAGACCGCTTCCGCTGCCTGCGCCGCTGCTATGGCTGCCCGCGCCCGGCCGCCCCGCGCCGCTGGCGAACCCCGAACCGCCGTAATTCGCGCTGGGAGCTCTGCCACCCCCGTGCAAAGCGCTGCTCGGAGCGCCCCTGCTGCCTCCGATCCCAGAAGGCGCGTTCGAGGGGCTGCTGCCGCCAGAGCCAGGGTCGTTGATAGCCACGTGGTAGAACGCGGAGCAGTCCTCCGATCGAATCCGACGGTGGCGATTGCTCTGATTCATCACGCGCAGCATGTCCGGAGCCATGGGCGACGGTCCGTGCTTTCCGCTCTCAGGGGAAGGCCCGCCGCTCGCGCTGCTCGCCCCGCTGTACCCCCGCGGCTTGGTATTGAGCGGAGATCCGCGCAAAGTTTGCGCAGGACCGGTGGACGGGCTGCCTTCCGCCTGCTGCTGTTGGTGCAACGGCTGCTGCTGGCGCGGATACTGCCCGTGCATAGGGGGACTCGAGCCTTGGTTGCTCTGATGCGCGTCCGCGCGATCGGACCGCTGCTGCGGCCTGCTCACGCCACCTTGCTGCTGCGACAGGCGCTGCGACTGGTGCGACGACTGGTGCGACGAGAGGTGCGACGGCTGGTGCGAGTGGGGCTGCGCGTGCGACGAGGAGCCGTACTCCCTGTACCCTTCCTCGCCTGCATCGTCCCCTTCATGGCTTCGACCCTTGTGCCTCTCCCTGCTTCTCTCCTGCTCTCGTTCCTGCTCCACCGCGGGGCCTTGCGCTCTTCCGCCTTCCCGGTCCCTCGCGCGCTCCCACTCCCTCTCTCTCTCCCTGTCCCGGTCTCGCTCCCACTCTCTCTCCCTCTCCCTCTCCTTCTCCCGCTCCCACTCCCTGTCCCTGAAGCTTCCTCGCTCCTTGTCTCCCCCGTCAAAGTCCCTCATTCCGCCAAGCCTACTACGCTCTTCCCGTTCCCTCTCCCTTTTAGACTCCCTATCCCTCTCTCTCTCCCTCTCTCGATCCCTATCCCACTCCCTCTCCCTTTCCCTCTCCACCCTCTCCCTATCCCTATCCCGCTCCCTATCCCTGTCCCCTCTCTCCCTACTCCGGAAACTTCCACTCACGCCTCTCATCTCCATCCTCTCTCTGTCCTTGAAACTCCCTCCGACAAACCCTTGCTCGAACCTTCCCGCGCCGCCCCTGCTCCCTCCTCGATCGTCTTCATCTCGTATATCTCCGCTTCCTCGGTCCAGGGAAGCGATTTCCTTGTGCGCGCTCCTCCCGCGCTCCCCTCCGTAACTCTCCTTCGCATACTCCCTTGGTGCCTCCTTGAGTGCCTCTCTTTCCCAGAGGCTTCCGCTGATCCCATCGCCCCGTTGCCTGTCCCTCTCGCGAAAGCTCCCATTCCGCGCCTCCACGCGTTCCCTCGGCGCCGCCCCTCGATCCTTCTCCGCCTCGCGAGGCCGAGCCGCATGCGACGCGCGCTCGCGCTCCTTGAAGCTCCCGCGCATCCGCTCACCGGACCGCCATTCCTGCTCCACCTCCCTCTCATGCTCGCGCAATCTCTCCCGCACCCAGTCATCATCCCCGCCGATTGCGGGTTCCTTACTCTTGGCGCGTGAGTAAGACTTGCATCGGCGCGCCAAGGGGGGGGAGGACGCCGGCGAATGGCCTTCAGTGGCCCGCTCGTCCTCTTCTATCACCGGCTGCTCCGACAGAGCGTACGCGGAATGCTGGCGGTAGCGCGACGCGGATAACGCGCGCTGCACGTTTCCATCGGAGGGGTGGGTTTGCACGGCTTGATCGAAGAGGAAGCTGGTGTCTGATTGCACTCTCCTGTGGTTGGTTGGCCGCGACGGACGGGGAGGTACAGACGCGACATGATCCGCGCCGCCGTACATTTCGTTCGCATGGCCTCGACTCCCCATACGCGCGATTACGATGTATCACAAGAGCAACAAGCTCTGGGTGTTCGGGTAGCACAGGAGTTTCGGAACATTACTGTTGGCATTGTCGGCGGCGAGATTACTTCAACGACTATTCGAAGAAGGAGCGCGTTAGCACAACTGACGAGGTCGAACGGGACGGCTGATTAGGCGACTTGGAGTTGAGCGTGATTGCCGACCACATAGTGTGAAACACTGAGGCAAGAGTTAGGTTTGGTCGGTTTGAATACAAGAGGTGAGAATGAGCGGGAGCGATACTGTAGTGGGGATAGTGAGAGTGAAGAGTGAGAGAGAGAGAGTGGAGGGAGCGAGAGTGGGAGCGAGAGTGAGGCTCCGCGGGCAAGTAGGTGAGGTGGAGGGAGCACAGGGGGAGTGAACGATTGACAAGCCCGAGGATTCTGATTGGTTGACGATGGCGGCAAGGGGAACAGAGAGTTGACATTGACATTCCCGAGAGCGAGAGGGGTACGCTGCCCCAGGCAGAGGGAAGGGCGTCTTTCGTTCGACATTCTCGAGGCTCCTCCTGCATCCTGAATTTCCTTCGTGCTGCCCGTTCCGTCGAGGAGAATTCGTTCCGTTCGGTGTGAAAGGCAGCGCTCTTGGTGCTGACGGTTGCATAAGTGAATAAATATCGGGGAATCAACTACAGGATGAACGAAAATTGATGACCGTCCAGGCCTCCAACCCAAACTGAGGAAACACCGAAAAAACTACACCAAGACAGGCAGAGCTGCAAGTGGTGCCCTTGCCTTGGACCTGAGGCCGTACAGCTCACGTCACGCCGTGCGAAATACAGTGAAACTTCAATTGGATTGGGGGACATGTGAGGTCGTATCTAACCGTATGCCTGTCCACTGACGTTTAACGCCTGGCTAAATTTGTTTCTTAACTAAACGACTAACAATAACACTTCCTGTTCGTGAACCTTGCTGCATCTGACGGGGTGACCTACCACCACACAACAAAATACGTCGGTGATCGTGAAAATGCAAATATAATGCTACAGTGCTGTACTAAGCAGTTTGAGACTAACCAAATCTTGGTGTACTCAGCATGCAGTGGGAAACTGGGGGGAGTCAACATGGTGTATTTTCGAGAGTCTGTCTGGTAATCACATTTCATGGCTAAAACGGGTATGCCTGCCCGATGCCCACGTATGCGCTTCATGGTATCTCACCTCACCACTACAATCGGTTACGACCGTTATGGGGTATATGCTTGCTTATTCGGTGTATACTTTTCCATATAATAAAAAAAACCTCTCCACTACAATACAGATTTCTGCAGGGGTGTCCTCTCGCTCCTTACCTCTTCATATGCACGGTGGAGCCCCTGGCCCAGGAAGCGGCGAAGAGGCAGCTGGGCATTGTCAGTGATTCGGGGAGGAGGCTGCCCTACCTGGGTTATGCGGATGACATCACGCTACTGTTGCAAGGGAGGGAGCAAATTGCAGAGGCAGGAAAAAAGCTGGATTATTTTGCGCGGGTTTCTGGCCTGGTCACAAACAAGGATAAGTGAGTGGTGATGCCCCTGGGCCAAAACCTTGGAGGTCGTCCCTGGAGGCCGGATGGTTTCAAATGGGCCGGTGCGGATGATGCGGAAAGGCTGCTTGGGGTCTGGATTACCGCCTCAGGTGACTGCAAGGCGACGTGGGACAAAACACTGTTGAGACTGCTGGGGGAGATGGGTAAATGGGAGCTGAAGTATCTCACGATTACAGCGAGGGCGGTCGTCATCAATGGCTACATTACCCCGATCATCGCCTTCCAGGCGCAGGTCTACCCGCCACCGCAGGAGGTCTGGGGGCGGATAGCGAAGCTGATTCATAACTTCCTCTCAGGAAACCACGCGTCGGAGGAGGGGTGTTTCATCCTGTGGGGGAAGGAAACAATCTTTGCAACACGAGAGGAGGGTGGTATTGGAGTGAAGGACCCGGGTGTTCTGGTCGCCTGCCTGGCCGCCAGAAGGATCGGAATCCTGCTCACTGAGACGGACGACTTTAAACGGGACATGATGTTGGCAGCGGCGGGGCTGCCGCTGAGGCTGGATACTTTCTTGTCACACGAGAAGCTGTTGAAATACTGGGTGGATGGGAGCGCGAGATGGAAGCAGACTTGCGAGTGTTTCATGACGTCGCCGTTTGCCACCGTCAGCACACCCCTCACCGCAGCGGAAGTTGCTGCTGAGAGGCTGGCTTTCAACAAAGGCATTCTGCTTAATGGGAGAACGCCGGTTGGAGGACAGAAAGCTGCTAAGGCGCTTTGGGGGATCAGGCTGGGGAACCTGGTGGCGCCCATGGCGAACGGCGGGATGGCAGTAAAGAGCGAGGAAACCCTAGCAGAATCACTTGGGACAGCACCTGCTCGGCTGGCTCTGAAGGGGCTGGCAGCCGCGCCTGAGAACTGGAGGGAGCTGCTGCTCGCCTCGTCGGAAGGGAATCAGGGCGCGGACACGGGGGGGAGAGCGGTCATAGCCCCTGGGGCTAAACTGTTCCGCACGCCTATTTTCCACCTCGGCCAAGTCGCACCGATAAGGCGCCTGCGGTTAGCGTGGAGAAAGCAGGGGTTTTCGGTGCGGAGGAGAGAGAAGTGGGCGAGCACATGGGGGGGGACAATTGACTGGAAGCGGGTGACCAAGATTCGGGACTCGCTCACCACGCCTAGTCGCCCCACAGATGTTTTAATCAGGGTGCATAATTTCAACCTTCAAGTTGGGGAAAGGCTGGCCTTTCTCAGCTCGAAGTCGAAATGTCCGTACTGTAGCGAGGAGGAGTCACTCGAGCACTGTCTTTTCGAGTGCCCGAGGATACAGCCAGTGGTGGGGGCTTTGAAAACGGCTCTCAGGATGCTCAATCCCGGGCGCAGTGTCTCATCGCTGGGCGATCTTCTTTTCGGGCGAGCAGCGTCCAGCTCAGCTTTTCCGGAAGCAACGCTTACGGCGATCACCATCCATCAGCTGTGGGTTGAGAGATGTGAAGCAGCTTTCCGGGAGCAGAAATTTCTGTTGAGACGGGTTCTATGGAGGATTGAGGCAGCTTTCCGGCTGCACGCAAGGGTCTTCATGAAACACGCGGGTGAAAAACTGCAGAAAGACAGCGCAACAGGGCGGAGGGGGACACGTGGAGGAGGGCCCTGCCAGGAGATGAGGCTTCTGGACCGAATCAGGGACAGTAATGCAAAGAAGTGGACGTGGAAGGCGGGGTTTGCAGCCATCTGGACACGACAGAGAAGGGGCAGCACCAGGCCGGGGCAGCTATACTGAGGCGGGTTACCACCTAGCCTCCAAGCGCAGTTACGACTGTTCTTGTTTTGTACACCTGCCTACTTGGTGTATAATGCAATTACCAAAAAAAAAAAAAAAAAAAAAAAAAAAACAATACAGATCTCTTGCATTGTGAAATCAATCTGCTTGACTAGAACATCCATTATTGTGTCCCTGCAAACTTCTGTACACATGAGCAACCTTTTGACAGCAGCAAGATCCCACTAGGAAAAAAAAAACACACATGCACACAAGAAATCTTCCACCGCTAACTCTCGGGTCTTGGTGTCAAGGCACTATGCTTTGCTTGTTCCGATATGAAATTAAACGAGAAGGCGTTCCTGTATAATGCAGGAGCCGACTCTATCGAGTTCGAAGTCGAGGAGTCAGAAGAGTCGAAGCGACACCAGCAACCGTCCGATCAAGACCGATGCAGGCATAAGCATTTGAAGTGAAAAGAGCGGGAACGGGTTTGAAACAGGTTCAAGCGCCGCACGGTTTGAACTTCGCTGTAATAAATGAATGTACCCCTTAGAGTATATGGCTAGCCTAGGACGCTTCGCATTCCTTTGTATTGTCAGAATCCCAACCACTAGACCATTGGGATAAAAGGGCTTGTTAAGTAGCGGGTCAGTGCGCCCATAACCCCCCAGGACAACGAGCCTGTAACCCTTCCCTAGGATCAATCGGGGATCACCAGTGGACCTCTGACACCCCCCCGCACTGGGATGCCCGAAGTGCACATACTGGGATTCGAACCCGTGACCTTCGCTCTGATACCATGTCAGAATCCCAACCACTAGACCATTGGGATAAAAGGGCTTGTTAAGTAGCGGGTCAGTGCGCCCATAACCCCCCAGGACAACGAGCCTGTAACCCTGACATGTATTTCCTATATAACCCTGATGTATGCATCTTATTGTCAATCTCAATCATTTACATTCACTCTCATCTGAGGTCAACAATTCCGCTGCAACAATACCATGTGATCAACCCTGAACGATCCTTTGTTCAGTCCTACTTGGGATTGTAACATGGTATGAGAGCTACTCAGAGATTCTTCGCAACAACACTTCCGTAAAATTCGCCGAACCAAGATCTGGCGAGCGGCACACACTCCAAGACCAAGATGGCTGGAGGATCCGAAAGCCAAACGAATCTTACGGCCAAAGGACAAGCCAACCTGGTTGCAACAAGCGAGGCAACAACCACGATAAGCACAGCTGCACTCGAGCAGTTGTTTTCACGACTATCGACTATGGAGAAAGATCTCCAAGCACTTGTTGAAGGGGAGACAACAGCAGAACCAGAAGCAGAGGAGCAGGACAACGAAGCAGAACCAGGAGAAGAAGAGGGACCCATGCTAGACATCCTGCAAGAGACAGAAGCAGAAACAACAGAACATCTCGCACGATACCTGCGCACCCCTGGAGTTCGCGCACAAGATGACCTCTGGCACCAGCGGCTTGGCCAACCCTCGCTCCAGAGGTTCAACAACTGCCTCCGCGCCAAAGTCTTCTTACCAGGAGCACTGCTGCGTCCTGATGGCACGGAACCACTCAGCACCTCACATCCCACCACTTGCACTGTCTGCCCCATTGCTGCCCTCACACACCAAGCCTACCCCTCACTGGAGCCGAGCACCAACCGCTACAAGAAGCTGTAGAAAGTCTACAGCGATCACATCGTGCTCA